TTAAAAAAAACGCTGCTCACTTGGACCCTTAGGGAACCCAAGCCCCTAGACCCTTCGCGCCTGCATGTGAAGGTGCGCTGGCGCTTGCGACGGTGAGCCCTCAGCAGACAACCCGTCTTCTGCTAGCAAGGTGGGTTTAGCAAGGTGGTTTTACGTGGAGAAGTTAGGGCTCTGCGTTAAGGGATCATTTAAAAGGTCAGGGGGACTTAGGAGTATGTTACTGGGGCTAACTAGGGTTATTAGATGGCTGTTAGGGGATATAGATATACTTGCTAAGTCCCGCTGATCCTCCAGCTAGAATGTCCAGGTAGGGTGTGAGTTTGCAGGTTAGCGGTTCAAGGCGTAGCTGGAATGATGCGTGGGCTGGTTTGAGATGAGGTCGCCGGGCCCTCGCACAGGCACTATGAATACCATCTGGAGAACCAGCCGAAGGACTGCAATATATATCCGCCTGTCAGTGTCGTCATCTCCGTGTAGATTTCAACTAAAACTCGGGGCGTCTCAAGATCCATGCTGAGTCTGGGTTACTGTTAGAGGACTTACATTAAGATACTATACGAACGAAACCTTGATTGATATTTACGATCGATCCATACTATGGTAGCTTATCTTATACGTTCCTTAACAGCGACACAGCTTCCGTACACGCCGTGCTGTGCTTTGCTTGGCACCTTTGGGCTGCCTGTAAGGAACTGAAATTCTAGGTTGGCCCCTAAAACACATTGAAAAATATTAGTATATATGGTCCCCTATTAAAGCCATTAGGAAAAACATTAAATATCCCAGGAGCCTACCCAGAATTAAATCATCATTTAAAGCTTCTTGGCAGCAATCCAAGAAGCAGCTTTAGGGTCCGACTGTGCCGGACGCTGAGACGAGAGTTGCTGGGGCTGTAAATGGCGCTCAAGGTATGAGGAGATTTGATGACACAGCTTGGGGCTGTGGATGCTAGAACTCATCACTCCCTAAGGGTCCAAGTACCTAATATTCATATGCTTACCTAAAAACCTATACTATAATTACTACTCCCCAAATCCGATGTACCTAATCATTGGGTACTTGGACCCTCTGGGACTAAACCAAGGCATGAGTTCCAATGGAAGGATGTGCCGTCGCATGCCCTGAAAGCTGTGAAGCTGGCATCTACGGTTCAACTTACGAAACGCTGACTTGCAAGAGGCTCGCTCTCACAAAGTCCTGTTTTGGTATGGGAGGAACTGAGTAGTTTCGTCATCAGAATCAGAACCAGGAAAGGACCCACTCACTCATGCAAACGTCCTTCAAATGAGTTGAACTCCTGTTACAGTACCCAAACTCGTTTACACCCGCCGAAGTCCTAGTGCGCGAGTACGCAGCTGGCTTACTGGAACATCTTCACCTGCAAACAAAAAAGCTGTCAAGTGACAATAAACATCAGCAACTTTTCCATCGGAACGGAGCTGATGCGTGCCTGACCGCCGAGCATCACCACTACGTGGATATTCGTTATAGTGGATAATGGAGGAACGGAGCCCCACATAAAGCCCAATAATGCAGTAATTTCGCCCCCTTTTGCAGTTCCCTAGACACAGAACCCTGAGCGGTAGCTTCCATTTTCTCTTCCATGCCATCATGCCCTAGTAACACCAGGACGGAAAAAAGGCAGTGGCCGATGGCAAGGCTGCACGTCATGACTTCTCAGAGAGGCCAAGATCACTTCATTCAGGAATACCCGAAGGATCCAGGTATACTAATAATGCCTACATTGGGCCCTAAAGTCCGTAAATATTAGCTACATTGGGCTATTTGGATCCCTAGGGATATTTCTGAATTTTCAAATCATATAGTTGAGAGTTGAGTGCTTACTTTAGACATATTGGGCTCCCTGGGTCAACGGACAAGTCACGCACTCAGAGAGGCCCGGTAAGTTCCTAGTCTGCACATTGTGTGTGCTGTTGAGCTGCACATTACAACTCGAAGGGGCAATTCTGGCGTGCTTTCCACGAGGTAGGTATATTACGAAACACCAATGTGAGAAAAACAGTAATTCTACTGGACACTCGGATATCACCTCGCTATAGCTTGTTTTCGCCTACCTTAGCTTTGCGTCAGAAAGCAAGTCCCCGCAACTCGTCTGCGCTGGACGCACGTCCCCTGTGCGGCGCCAGCTACGCAGAGTCCAAGGCGAGGTCGAGGGCACCCCAAAGACGACTAGGTTGTCCCTAAGTGTGAGGATTTACAGGGACTCAAAAATGTACTTTAAATTTCAGAAAGCCCCGTGTCCGTGCTGGCACTGCAAAATGCCGGAACGGGTGGAACGCACTTCCGTTTCCTGGGCTGTTGTTGAGGAACGAACTTACATGAAGTCACCATTACAAGCAGACACAATTCCGTCCTACATGACTGTAATATGGAATGCAAAAGTTCTTCATAGACAGCAAGCAAGTTTCTTGCCGTCACAGTTGGCGAAGTCGACCAGCATGGTAATGAGTTGGTCGCACGTCTCTTGACTCAAGGCAACGCTGGACTCCCCTGCAGGAAGTTGCCTACCTTCTGCCTTCAGTTGGTAGGCTTCGGCAAAGGACAGCAAGCGAGCATAGGTGATAACTCCTGACACGTCCGACTTCTGAGCGACCATTGAACCCGCTGTCGAATTCAGGAAAGACTCAGCGAACTTCTCCAAGTCAGATACGTGTCGATTCGAGCGGCGCGGGTCCATCTTCTCTTCAATGAAAGCCTCAAGGATGGGGTCCAGCCTTGAAGATCCCCCGTTTGCCCTCTCGAAGGGCTCTAACCAACGCTGGCGGTATAATATCTCCTGCTCTTGCAAGCTCAAACGCATGGAAGGTGCCAGCATGAGATTTCTTAGCAAGTCGGCAGCACGGAACGGCACGCCTGGAGCAGGGTTGTGCAGTAAGGCGCCCATTGAGAAAAGGCTCTTCTCTTGAAACCAAAGGAAGACTTGGGGAAAGTCGATGTCATTCAGAATCTCGCAGAAGGTAATTGCCATGACGTCCAGGGCGGTACGGGCCAGCCCTGCCAAAAACTCCCTTCGTGCTGTAGCCCCTTTCTGCAGACTGAGAGCACCATAGAGCTGCTTATCAAAAACGCCTTTTGCACGCGACTGCACCGACCCACGCGAATCAGATTTGTCCGATTCCGGTGCCTTACCTGCCTTAAGGTAAGCATGCCGGAGAATTCCTTCAGTGATGGCGCGAAAGAATGGGATGCGATCCTCGAAGGAGGGCATCAGGATCGGCACGCCAAATGCCTGGGCACTGCCATCGTTGATTTCCTCCTTTCTGCGGCCTTGCACCTGGCCGTCTGCCCATGCATAGACTTGACGTGGGTCTCTGAAAAGAAGTGCGTCAAGCTCAGCCACGAAAGTAGCCATCCAGGTGTTACCTTGGCGAACCAGCTCGAGCGCAGCGTCTCTCAAAGCGGCAACTATGAGGGACACCGTCGTGCTGCGCTGTTGCCCATCGATGCAAATGAGAACCCCGTCACGTTCCTTGAAAATTGCCTTGCCAGTGAGGTGGTATCCAAGGGAGGGATTGGGCCTCAAGGTGTCGTTCCACCAACCCTGAATCTGTTTGTCGCTCCAGCAGTAAGTGCGTTGGAAAAGTGGGATCACAATCTGTCGCTGGTCTGTCAGCAGGCTGCGGAATGCCATGGGCTTCACCTGGGTTGCTGTTTAGGAGCTTAGTATATGTTACTATATTGGGGAAGCCATATTCATTACGATATATAATAATATAATCCACTATGGTAACTTCAACCCTAACCTATATACCCCTACATACCCCTAATTCCCCTATGGTATGGTATCTTAGTTTATGTTCCCTTAACAGCAACCCAGTACCCTAGAAATCCCTATATAATCCCAGCTTCTATTTCATTTTCCATATTCTTTTCCATTTGATTCTCCATTATAGCAACCCAGTCACCGCCATGCGGCTACCGGGGCCATGCAGGCCCGGGCACTCGTAAGAAAAGTGCTGAAGAGCGCCCGAAGTCCCAGCAGCCATCTTCAAACCTCTGATTCCCTGGAGCCCTACCCACTGTACGGCTCAAAATTAAGTCTATAAATTCTGCCTGCCTGGGGCTTTAAAGTCCATAAGTCCAATATACTTGTTACCTTTAATACCTCATGGTGTTTTAGTATCAACAAACTAAACACAATTTCCAGCCAGGACCCAGTATAGGGATACACCAGGCTAAGATTGATACTAGTAACCCTGCATGACCTTCATGCACTATAGTACCACTTCTCCCAAGGTCAGAAGTACTTAGGGTCATGCTGATCCTAAACCCTGAACCCTAAACCCTGAACCCTAAACCCTAAAACCCTGAACCCTGAACCCTAAACCCTGAACCCTGAACCCTGAACCCTAAACCACCGTATCGTGAGAGGCCTCAAAGCTGCAGGCCGACACTCGCACAAGCTGACAAACTTGACTCTAAGCATCCTCATATAATCTCCCGCAAGTAGATAGAAGATGGGGTATATTATTGGGGTTATTTTGGGATAATGGAAAGGAAAATGGAAACTACTGTTTTATAACAGGGTAGATATTGGGGTATATGTTAGGTGGACCCCCCCACCCTGTAACAGTAACTATGACTATAAGGGATAATAAGGTTTATATTAGGGTCCTATTATATCCCTATTATACCACTATTACCAGGGGGGGGTCCTGCTAAGGTATATGGGTGGTCTTATGATAATATACCCAAAGCCACATTCTACCTACTGAAGGGGGACTACACCTGCCGAATTGGATACGTCTCCGCATAGCCCTCCTACGCACCTGAGCCATAGTCTCAACTCCGAATGTTCCCTCAAATTCTGATGTTCCTATCGTTGTCCCAGCTAGCATCCTTTAAGCCTTTAATATCCCCCCATCCAGGAGTTTAGACTGTAGGTCATATGCCCACAAAGCGTGTGTATATATAAATACTTATCTGAACTTTTTACATATATGCACACACATACCTACAACTAACACTCCACGTGCAACCTGGGAACCTACTACGTGGGTAGCTGGATTGCTATGGCATGATTGAGAGACTAGGGATACATAACGTATGACGTCTTTGACGGGGACAATGGGATCCTACTCGAACATGCGCAGGGCTGTTTGTGATAAATGCCCATCTTAGTATGGGGTGTCTCAAAAAGAAAGGTTCCCGCATGTGTGTCACAAAATGCTCTACTCGTTACTTGTAGGCATTGTAGGCACTCTGACCAAGGGAGGCCCGCTCTCTGGTCTTTCTGAAGATTGCATGACGTACATAAAGTACGAACAATCACCAGCATTATTACTATTGCTATGTTTACCACTGTCATTGATAGTTAGCTGGGGTACAAGGGTGGGCTTCGAGTAAGGCCGCTGCCTGGCTGATCACGAGCTCTGCGTCGAGGCCTAAGCCCTGGCTCAAGCAAAAGTCAATCCATGTAGGGTATGTGGGGTTTGGGGTTTAGGGTTTAAGCATTCAGGTTTGGGATTTAGGGCTTAAGGTTTAGGGTTTCGGGGCCTAGGGTTTAGGGTTTAAGGGCCCAGGGTTTAGGGCTTTGTAGGGTTTAGGTTGTTCAGGGTTTGGGGTTTAGTGACTCTGGGCTGGGTTTTAATGTTTGCAATTTAGGGCTCAGGGCTTGGGCTCTAGGGCGTAGGGTTTGGAGATTTAGTGTACAAAACTTCGGGTTGAGGGTCGAGGGCTTAGGATTTGGGGCTTGGAGTTTAGGGTTCAGGGCCCCCCGGCAAGCAACATGGAAGCTGAACCAGCAGCCCTTTCCAAGGACAGTAGAGCGTAGTCCTTCTAAGGGCCCTTCTGGTCTTCCACGGTAGGTTTAGGCTTTGGGGCTTGGGTTGGGGAGTCTATCTGCCCTATGGTACCCACCTTTGTTAGGATCATGTCCTGCATTTTTGTATGATACATATTTCGAACTCAGGCGTCGCCGGGGTCCAGATGGGGTTTGGCTATGTAGGATGTAGGGCTTAGAGGCTTCGTGTTTAGGGTTCAGGGCTTGGGGCTTAAGGTATCTGGTGTTGCGGATTTCAAGCAATTTGAGTGGCTTTACAAGGGTTTTGTGAGGTGGGTTTGGGGTTTCTCGACAACCGGACATTCCTGTCGGCTAGACAAGAAGCCTTCGCTCAGCAAGAGAACAGGCCCTCACACAGGACTGCTAGAATGAAGGGCACCGTTCCTACTACCAGGCCCGTGCATAGGCACCACTGCCCTCAGCCGAATGGCAACAGCAGCATCCGGCTCAGCAGGCTAAGGCGCCTCTGGAGGCGTTATGAAGAGCTGTGGCAGCATCACGACAGGCATAGCAACCGCAGCCAAACACAAAACCTCCGTGAAAACATTTCACGGACCGCAAGACAGCTTGGCGGCAGCAGCAACCATCTTCTCACCTGCGCCAGGAATGAGGGCCGCGCATGGATAGCACAGCACATCCAAAGAGAGGAGCAGTACCTTTCCGACAGGCGTTTGCAAGCATGGAAAGAAAGAATGAGGAGCAGACCGGACCAAGTCTGGAAATGGCTCAGCAAGGACAAAACCAGCACGGTCCTTACAGCTATCCGCAGTCCGGACACCGGCCAGCCTGAAACCGGCAATGGCATGCTTGAGCATGTGCGCCATTTCTGGCAGGGCATTTGGCCCGCCCCAGAAAGAGAGCTTCAGCAGCCGTCCCTGGATGACCTTGCCAGCAGGGCGCCTTGGCCCCAGCAAAGAGAGCCTGAGTTCCCGCAGCTCACAGGCCACATGCTCAAAGAAAGAATTCAAAAGCAGCAGCATAAAGCAGCTGGCCCCGATGGCTGGAAGGCTAGCGAACTCGTGCACGCCCCAGCCGCAGCTTTCGATGCCATTGCAAAAGAACTCGCTGCCGTTGAAGAGGGTCGAGAGTGGCCTGCCGCACTCCTTCAATGGAACCAGACCCACGCTCAAAAGCCCAACAAAGAGTTTGGGGTCTTGGATTCCATGAGGCCAATTTCTGTGGCTTCCATCATTTACCGCAGCTGGTGCAGCGCAAGGGTAAGGCAGCTGCGCAAACACATAGCAAGAATGGTGCCGCCAGAACAGCACGGCGCCATCTACAAAAGAGGCATCCACACTGCCTTGGTGCGAATGCTTTCTTTCCTCGAAAGAGACAAGATCGGCAACGGGCGTGAGCACCGCTTCAGCAAAATCATGGCCAGCGACCTCTCCAAAGCTTTCGATAGTATGCACTACAAGCATGCCATCAATGCCATGACAAGGATGAAGCTCCCGCAGACCTTTCTTGAGCCACTTGAAAGAGCCTGGAGGTCCCAGCAGCGCTGGTTCAGTGTTGCGGGCACCGTGAGCAGGCGGCCCATGAACCAGGTGCACTCGGTGTACCTCGACGACAGGACGTGCTTGAGCACAAGCACCAGTACAAGCCTCAGCATCGCTGCAGCCTGGAAAGTGGAGGTTGGCAGACTAGGGCTCGCAGAGAATGCGGGCAAACACGACTTCGCCACCACTGGGGGCGTCCAGGCTAGGCGCCAGCTGGAGGAGGCACTGAGCGCTCAGCAAGTGCAAGCAAACGTCAAAGAGCGCCCTAAGCTGCTTGGGACCGAGGCGCAGATGGGGCGTGAGTGGACAGGCTCGTCAAGGAGGGAAAAGCAGAAGCTACAGCGCGTCAAGCGTCTTCTTCACCTCGCTGGCCAGTTGCCTCTTGGTAACCAAAAGAAGCTATTCTACGCTAAAAGCACAGGAATGGCGGCTCTGATGGCGGCCTCCTGGAGCCGCATCTACAGCATTGAAGAGCTGACTCCCATCAAAACGGCCATCCTCAAGCTGGACGGCGGCAGCGGCCCTTTGTGGCAGCTTTTGCTGGGGCCCACCGCGGACCCCGCTTACAAGGTCGGGGCTGCTGAGGCCTGCTACATCTTGTCCCACCTCGACGAGAGCCTCCGCACGTGCTGGTCGGACAGACAAAACCAGGGCCCCATATCCATGTTGAGACAGTGGATGAAGAGGCAGGGGTGGCAAGAGCTACGCGCCTGGTGCTGGGTGCATAGTGAGGCCAAACTCGCTCTCGCGAGTGGGGAGCTTGAAGGAATCCCTCCACATCACCAGCTCCACAGAATCGGGCAGTGCAGCAAAGGTGAGTTGGAGCACATGCTGCGTGAAGCCTGGCGGGCAAAGCTGTGGCATAAGTGGCTCAAGCAGGAAAGCAATGCAGCTACAAGATTGCATGCTTACGACTGGCCGGCTGTCTCCAGCAGGGCCAAGAAAGTAGCCAGACTGTGGAACTGGCCGGGCCCCGACCGCCCACACATCCAAGCTATTACGGCCAACAAGTATGTAAGCAACTTGCACTTGGCTGTGACTGCGGGCAAGGCACCAGTGCCGTGCCAATGTGGGGAGCTTATGTCTTCCAAGGCTCATGAGTGGGGCTGCCCAGCTCTACGCAGTAAGCCAAGCCTCGTGGCCAGTGACGCCCTTATGACCTACTTAGGCTGGCCTAATACACAGTCAGACCAGGAATTGCTTCAGGATCTGGTCACTGTTAGGAGAGCAGTGCTGCAACACAGATACCCTGCAGACACCTGAGGAGCAGTGGTGTCACCAGCAACAGCATTTCCCCCTTCCTTTCCTTCCCTTCCTTCCCGGTGCAGGCGCACCACTGCTGCAAGCGCGAGCAACGCTACAGCAGCCAAGACGTCATCATCATCAT